ACGCACGCACGTCCCGGGACGGGCGGCCGGGGAGGGGAGGGGGTGGGAAGCAGCGATCGAGGGGGCCAGGGGAACAGGTGGAATACAACCCTCTGGAGGAAGAGGAAAGGAGAGGGGGCTTGTCCGGGTCCTCCGAAGTCAGGGGTGAACGGGAGAAGAAGCTCTCTGGGGTCAGTAAGTAGCTAGCAGATGGACAAATGGATGGACAGACTGGTGACAGAAAGAGGTAGGGGGAGATAGAAGGGGAAGACAGACAGACAAATAGACAGACCGATGGCTGATGGATAATCACAAAGGAGATAGAACACAGGATAGTGCATGTCAGGTTGCTGGAGCGCTTCCTTTAGGTTGACCAGATGCCTAAAGGGCTGGGAGGAAAACACTTGGAGTTCCCAGGTAGTGTTGGGAAGGCAACATGGCCTCGGGGAACAAATCAAATGACCAGCTACAACTCTTCTCAGGTTAACTGAAGCAAAGTCACTTGGCTTTGATTTCTATTTGGAGCTTGGGGTGATCCTGGCTTGGTTTTAATCCATCCCGATTTCTTTTTTTTTTTAATTTAATTTTATTTTATTTGTGAACATACTGTACAGAGGGGTTACAATTGCATGGGCAGGATAATGCGTACATTTCTTACCAAGCATTGCAGCCTCCTCCTTTGTTTACCCTTCCCATCCCTTCCCAGCCTCCCCCCTCCCCCCCATCCCAATCCGATTTCTTATTCTTTCCCATTCAAGTGTTCCCAGAACGGTTGCGCCTTTTCCAGGGGTGGCGGACACCGTTTTACTTTTATCTTCTCCAATGCTTTATTCACACTCAAAAGTCATTTGGGGAGAGGGGAGGAGATGACAAAGTAGAGTAAGTTTCATTTGATAGGTGAGGCATGAGCGTTCCACATTTTATGAGTGAGATTGCAATTGAAAATGATCGCAGAATTGCTTGTGCATTATCTTAAAAAGAATTTGTGAACCTACAATCACATATCATCTCAAGTTTTGCCATTAAACTGAAATTTTAAGTTAAAACATTACGGGCATCAAAGACTTGGCTAAAACTGTCTTTGACCATCTCATATCTCTCTTATTATTCTGTCTTCTCAGAGGTAGCCAATCCTGCCACTTCCCTGTTTTCCAGATAATTTCTATGGATACACACATACACACACACTCACACACACAGATGGACCCACAAATAACATGGTTTTGTGTTTAACTTGATTCCCTACTATATGTATATAATTTTTGCAACTCACAGATCTATATGAGTCAATATTTAAGACCTGTCTCACTTTCTTCCTGCTCTCTTGAATAGCTTTGCATAGTATGCCAGAGATAATTGGACCAGTCTCCTGTCATTCTGCATTTAAGTTACTTACTGATTCACATTCTGAAGAATTGTTTTTTGTAATTCATCTAATTTCTTCATGCACTTGTTTCTACCAGAAAGGTACTTTTCATAGATTAGAAATGCCTAGCCCAAATGGCTAAGTACTTCTGGGCATGAAAATTAAAACTCATCTAAATCAGAGTGGATTATCTACCAGATTTAAAAATAAGTAAGCCTCAAAAGCAAGAATTCTGGAACAAGTATATGTTGCAGGTATAGCTGGAAAAGAGTTCTTAACTCAGAAGGAAAGAGTGTGAGAATCAGCTATGACCACATATTCAATGACATTGTTATATTTTGCATGTAAACGTTTTCTATCTTCTTGCTTTAGTTAGTATTATAAATAATTATATAATAAATACTAATAATTAGTATCATAAATTATTTCATTCATACCACAATGAAGCCATCTGTTTTTCATTTAATTATCATTGAAGCAAGTCCTAGTTAAAAGTTTTAAAGGAAGGATCATTTCAGCTTCACCTGATGTACATAGAAAATATGCTATGGAATGGAGGACCCAGTGCAGTGGCTCAAGACTTTAGTCTTAGCTACCTGAGATTCTAGGCGAGCCCATATTTTTTTTAAAGAAGGTTGAGACTCCATGTCAACCAACAATGAGTGTGGTAGCACTTGTCTGTCACCCCAGTAATATGGAGGATGCAAAACAGGAAGACTGCAGCCCAGACCAGCCAGGATATAAAAATGAGGCCCTACTGAAAACTGACAATCAGATATCATGTGACAACATGGCTTTCTCCACAAACTAACTCCAATGCTGAGCTGCTTGGGTCTCAGTCTCCTCATTTGTGAAATGGGGCCAGCAGGGAAGGATTCAGCAAGACAGTGAAGACATCCAACTGTTGACTCTCTACCATTTAGGCTCCATTGTGCCCTAACTCCTTCAGGATTAGAGCTCTTCAAGGATCTCCTTTTTATTAGAAATTCTAAGTCAAAATTTTACAAAAACTAACAACAACAACTAAAAATCCCAAACAAATAATACCCCCTTCTAAACATAGTGTGAGCCAAACAATGCATGAAAGGTTGATTTAACCTTGGCACCCTCAGGTTGATCATCTCTGTGCTGCATGAGTTAAGAACTTGCATTCTGCTATAACTTTCTGAAATCTTCTCACAGCGCTTCTCAGAATGGGAAGAGAGCAGCTATCCTGAGTCTACACACTCCGTTAGACAGAGTGGAACTGTCCATCCCAACCATTTGTCCTGGAGCAACCAGAGTCAAGACCCCCCTGCTTGGCTCAGCATTCTATCCCAGGCCTGGGCACCCAGTACCCTCCGGTTTTACTACTCTTCCTCACCTAGCTCATCCATTTGAGATGGGAAGCCCTGTATTATAGCTCCAGGAATGGGGAAGTAGAGAGCCCTTTTTTGATCTGTGGATAAGGTGGGTCAGCCAATAAAGAAATCATGGTTTATCCTTCTTCTCTTTCCCTTAAATTCCAGAGGGGGGGGGCTGGGGAGGTGGCTCAGTGGTAGAGTGCTTGCCTTGCATGCCTGAGGCCCTGGGTTCGATTCCTCAGCACCACATAAGCAAAAAGCCGGAAGTGGCGCTGTGGCTCAGGTGGTAGAGCTCTAGCCTTGAGCTGAAGAGCTGAGGGACAGCGCCCAGACCCAGAGTTCAGGCCCCATGACCGGACCCCCAAAAAAAAAATTCCAGACAGGGAAAAACTGTTAGCCTCAAATATTAGGAGCTTTTTTAGAGGGTCCTTTCTCATTTGATTTCTTTCTTTCTTTCCTTCTTTTCTTTTCTTCTCTTCTCTTTTCTTTCTTTCTTCCTTTCTCTCTTTCTTTTTTGCCAGTCCTGGGGCTTGAACTCAGGGCTGGCTGCTGTTTCTGAGCTTTTGTACTCAAGGCAAATACTCTACAGCTTGAGCCACAGATCTACTTCTGGCTTTTTGTTTTTGGTAGTTAGTGGAGATAGGAGTCTTGTGGAGTTTCCTGCCTAGGTTGGCTTTGAACCACCATCCTCAACTCTCAGCCTTTGAGTATTTAGAATTACAAGCATGAGCCACCAGTGCCTGGCTTTGATTTAATTTTTAAATTGAAAAACTTCAGTCAGTTATACTACAAAATATATCAAACAAAAATAATAGAACAGATGTCAAATTATCCCTGAGGTTCAGTATGTGGTAATAATATTTGGCTTGTTGGTGCTCAGATTTCTCCATTTAGGAAAAATACAGAAAGTCATATGTATATTCTGTGTGCGTGTGTTCACGTATGCACATGCACATATGTATATAGTCCTATAAAATTAAGTATATTGTCTTGTGATCTTTTAAATGTCATGGAGTATTTCATATTATACTTTCTACTAGAACTCATTTTTAATAACTCAATATATATCTTTGGACTTTATCCACATTGATCTATATAGATGAGATTTATCTGTAGTAGGAGCTATGTATCAGGCCCAGTTATACAAAGTTTATTTTGTCATCTGTTTATAAAGACCAGGTCTATCTTCTCATTTCTATTTAAAAAGTCTCAGTGCATATGTTTGTATATGTACCATTTTGACCACTAGAAGTTGAAACCATAAATACTCTGTAGAGAAAACCATGTTTTAAGTTCATTAAGAATTGGTACATTGGTCTCTGTAGGGTTGTGCCAACAGTAAAGCCATGTACCTACTTCCTGAATCCTTAGCAATATATAGTGTACTTAGGTGTTGAAGGGTACAAAGTGAGATCTGACTGTGACTAGTGAGTTTGGGAAACTGTTTTTATCTTCCTTGGCCATTTATATTCCCCTTGGCATAAGTTGCATGTGCCACTCTCTACCTATTTATCTACTGTGAAGTTTGCCTTTTTGTTTCTAATTAATTTGATTAATTTAATTAATGAATTCTATTCCCATATTGGATATCTAACTTACGTTATTTTAGTGTGTAGCAAATAGTATATTCTAATCTTTGGTTTACCTTTTGGTTTAGTAATTGGTGGTTCAATCTGGCTCATTTTTCTTTAACATTTTTGTTTCTAACACCTGGCTGAAGACATTCTTTTTTAAAATTATCCCTAGGATTATGAAAGTGCTTTGCTTTCTACACTCCTACTTTTTTGTTTAAGTTCTACAG